TGTGTGCGCCTGTAAAAAACAAGAACGGGGGGGGGGGGGGGGGGGGGGCATTTTTAATAGAAAAATTATCACTGATTCAGCTAATTACGTCCAATGCATGTTGGGTTGTACGACATCCAGTGGTCAAGATAGAGATTACAATCAATTGGATCACCCTTTATTAGCAGCAGTCAGTGTCCATCACATGATCAGTTGGCAGACAATTGTGGGGAAAAAAAATTTTGTAACATAAAAGAATTATAAAAAGCAATCATGGTTTTGTCCTGAGTGTGATATAATTTTATTTTGCATTGTCTTACAGGAGTGCTACTTGGAAAATGACCAAACAAGCCTTTACCACACAGCCAAGGGTCTTATGACATTACAGGCATTGTATGGCACCATTCCACAGATTTATGGGAAAGGAGAATGTGCGCGGGTGAGCAAAGCAGAAAGAATTGAACAACAAAGCATTTTATTGCGTGTCGACTGATATTTACTGTCAATCTTTTTCTCTTTGCTATTAGCATGTTGCCAACATGATGCTGAGGATGAAAAGGGAGTTTGCAGGTATTCAGAATCAGATCCTGCCCGTGTTTGACACCCTGCTTCTCTTAGACCGGAATGTAGACCTGCTAACTCCTCTGGCTACACAACTCACATATGAAGGTCTCATTGATGAGATATATGGAATCACTAATGGTAAGGATATACAGTATATATATATATTCATCAAATATGTCTTACTCCTTTGTTTAGTGACCGGGTTCTATTTAAATTTAATTTGCAGGTTATGTCAAGTTGCCACCTGAGAAGTTTGCCCAGAAAAAACAAGGTGAAGCAAGTAAAGATTTGCCCACAGAGCCCAAGAAGCTGCAACTCAACTCAGCAGAGGAGCTTTATGCTGAAATCCGTGACAAAAACTTCAATGCTGTTGGCGCAGCACTCAGTAAAAAGGCCAAAATTATTTCTGCTGCCTTTGAGGTTGGTCCTGCTTCAACTTTCAACCACCCCGACATGTTTATCCACTCTTAAACCTGCAAAGATGTGTGCTATATTTACAAAGGCTACTCAAACGCTATGTTGTCATCTCTTTCTGAGAGCCTAACTGAATTACAATCAGATAAAATTGTAATCTGATATGTTGTCACAAAGGTTTTGAGGGAAAATCCATTTGATTAGGGAGTTGATGGTAAGTGTAAAGAGATAAGATAAAGTACTTTTTCCATCAGGAAGCGTCACAATATCCCCAGTGCTTTCTTATTAGCTTAGTATGGCAGATTAACTATCGATATGTCATATTTGTTGTCTTATTTTACAGGAACGACACAATGCGAAAACAGTGGGCGAAATTAAGCAGTTTGTTTCACAATTGCCTCATATGCAAGCAGCACGGAGCTCTCTGGCTAACCACACATCCATTGCAGAACTCATTAAGGACATCACAAGTCTGTAAACAATCAGTTGCTGTACTTCCTTTTACACATCTTATGAAGAACAAAAGTTTGTTTAACTACCAAAGTTTGTTTCACTGGGTTGTGTCTGTTTCAGCATCTGAGGCATTCTTTGATAACCTAACAGTGGAGCAGGAGTTCATGACTGGAGTTGACACAGACAAGGTACGTACCTGTAGTCTTTGAACCCATCTTTCATTCAAACTATTGTAATTATATATTTTTAGTGCAGGTTTGCTGTCAAAAATAGATTTGAGAGAGTTTTGAGAAATTATGTATTGGGTATATCTTTAATATCTTGGATGTTTTATAACCCAGGTGAACACGTACATTGAAGACCGCATTGCCCAAAAGGATCCCCTCATCAAGATTCTGCGGCTCGTGTGCATGCAGTCCGTCTGTAACAACGGCCTGAAACAGAAGGTCCTCGACCACTACAAGCGGGAGATTCTCCAGGTAGAGTGAAAAATAAAATTAAATTAAAAAAATGTCCAATAAATCTGTTGTAATCTATGACAGATACATTTTATTGTATGGACAAACATTTCGGAACATCTGGTGGTTCCTCTTGCAGGAAGTTCAAGAAAATGGAAATGTGGAGGTGCCCTGGTATTAAACGTGCAATTGTCCAAAATGTTTTGGTAAAATGAAAAATTCAAGTTTCGGTGGAAGTGATAGGTCTGACGCAATATGTAATTATGTTATTGTGTATGGCTGTGCTTTTTCTCGAAAGTGTATCATGATACAATGTGGTTTGTTCCTTTACTCTCTTTTTTTGTCAATAATGATATCTTTGGTGACATCCATTAATTTGTATCTACATGTCTGCTTTTCTTTTATATAAGACCTATGGCTATGAGTACATCCTGACACTGAACAACCTAGAGAAAGGGGGTCTTCTGAAACCACAGACCAGCTCAAGGAATAATAACCCTACTATTAGGAAAACCCTTAAATTGTGGATGGAGGATGCAAATGAGCAAGTATGAATAGCAGGGAATTACATGTTTTAACTTTTAACTGTGACAAGGACATGGTTATATTTAGTGAGTTGATGTTGTCTTTCTCTCAGAACCCCAATGACATCTCCTACGTGTACAGTGGCTACGCACCATTAAGCATCCGACTCACCCAATTGTTGGCCAGGCCAGGGTGGCGAAGCATCGAGGAGGTGCTGAAGATGCTCCCGGGTCCACACTTTGAGGAGCGCCAGCAGCTGCCTGCTGGACTCCACAAAAAACGTAAGGGCCAACACAAACAGCCTTCTTTCTGCCTGCAAGACATAGATAAGAGTAAGGCTTTGTTTGTGTGAGGGCAAAAGCTGAATGAGTAGATGGATTGGACTCGGCTGACATTGTTACCCTACCTCTGTCAGTTTGCACTTGTTTTTGTATGTGTACATGTGGTTGAAGAGAGGGATAGATAAGAACACAGCATTTATCAAGTCACCACCACCACTGCCATATTGGCAGTTGGAGGTGTCAACACTGATGGGAATGACACTCACTTTGAAATATGTTAATTAGAACTCTGAAATTAGATTCAGTGGCTTGCTTCTGCTTGCCCATGTTAGAACAGATTTTCAAAGGTGATAATAGAAGAGTCTCAGCAAAACTGATGAATAATTGGATGCTTTTAATGTTTGTTTGTTTTTTTTGTTCTAGTCATGGCTTTATGCACCCATAGTTGTATACCACTGTATATCTCAAAGTTGTGGATCAAAAAATAACAGCTACAATCAGGTTTGTATATTACTGGATGTGTGTGAGATGACATCTGTGACTAACTTGCAGGCCAGCAGGGGGAGAACAGGACAACACTGGTGTTTTTCCTGGGAGGAGTGACATATGCCGAAATAGCAGCTCTCCGTTTCCTTTCCCAAATGGAGGACAGCGGGATGGAATACGTTATAGCGACAACCAAACTCATCAATGGTGCATCTTGGATCAAATCTCTCATGGACACACCCGAAGCTCAGATGCATTGAGTCAACTGTGACACACCTGCACACATCAAACAACCCTTTGATTGACATCTCTTCATGTTAGTATCAGCATGCTGCAGGTGTCTCATTGATGTCCATGTTCGGGAAACGGATTGCGCTCTTTCTGTTCCTGGATTGTACTGAGGTAATGAAAAACTGTCTTATTGTTACTGTACACTGTGAGAAAGTCACTTCTCTATTAAGAAGCTATTGTATGTATTAATAAAGCGTTTGTCAAAATGTAATTTGTGAGGAAAAATGTATTTATTAATTTTTTTACAATTATTGTTGATCGTTCCTCTTCTTTGTGTGTATGCTTCTTCCCTTCCAGATAAAATATATTAACTAAATCAAGAAGTTAAACTGGTCCCTCTATTATTCAATATTGTCTGCAACACTAGTGATGTGAATGCATCTTTTTTTTTTTTAACAGAGGATTTTGATGAGGGAGGTGGGAGTAGGGCTGTCATCACTGGCCCAGCCCTCGGAAGGAGCAATTAGTGCAGTAACAGGCCTCCCGATCAGCCGATAATGCTCCTGCGCCGTCTGGAGAGCTCAGGCCTCAGCATCCTATCATTTGACAGCACAGGACACTGATTGAATTAGGAAGCCATTTGCTCAATGTTCCGGCAGAGAATAACTGTGCGGCAGCAAGGCTTTAGGTCTTCAGTCAATATCATCTCCTTGTCTTTACTGTATAAACAAGTCTCCCTGCTGACAGGACATACTCGGTGTACTCTTCAAGGATAAATCCATGTTTTTTTCTAATTAGATTTATGAGTAAGGTTTGCTTGATGGGTTTTATATTATACTAGTGTGGGTCTGAGGAGCAGGTGCACAGGAGGCATAACTACCATTAGGATCAATCCCAGGGGAATAAAATCCTTGTGATCGGTTCTTGTCTTTGGCTCCTCCTCAGTTGGGAGTTGAAAGGCTGCAGGTTGCACCAGGCAACTTCGCGGCGAGGAGAGTAACAGCCCGCCCTGTGAACACCGCCGGTCCTCCTTCAATAACATCAAGGTATGAGTTTTAATTTAAAGCTACGATAATGACGACTGTTGCTTGTGAATGTTTGAATGCTTTCATTTTGATTAATATTTGTTTACCATTTACCGGAATACAATTTAACAGCATATAGCTTTATGATGCTTCATAAACAGCACATTATTTTATAAGTCTCTCTGAATTTCGGAAGTAGTACTGACAACATTTTTCAAATTAAAGTCTTGAAAGGCTTCCTCTTGGACAATTGATGGTTTGACTGCAACTTCTATCATAGTTTTACATTTCACTGGTCCTTTTTTTTATGTAAATTTAATGTTTTCATATTATTGTGCTTATTTTTAGTTATGGCCTTTTCTGAGTGTGAATTTTGAAGAGCATAGATTTATGAGAGCTAAAGTAATGACTGAAGAGGCGTTGTTTGTGAAATTAAGATCAATACTGAAACCTTTTAGTGCAATCTGCAGATTAATTATTAAACAGTAGTCAACATGAGAGTGTGTCCTCTAATACAATTGCTTGAATTTAAATGCTATACATGATTTATTTGCTTCATTATTTCGTGTCGTGACAAGTGTGTGTTTGCAGAATGGGACGAGGTGGGAACCTGGGACACCTGACTCTTGCTGCTCCCAGGCACAAGACACAGGAGGTGCATCTGGATTCCGAGCCTTTGTTTATCCGCTTCCTGCGGACATTCAGGGAAATCCTCAAATTTGTCCTCTTCAGCTACACTGTGCTTTTCGGTTCCTTGCTTCTCGCCCGTTGGACCACTTACTACATGGTGGGAAAGTAAAACGACCAAAAAAAAAAAAAAAATCAATCTGCACTTGGACGTGGAGCTCTCTACTCAAATTGAAGATGTTTAATTTTGGACTCGAAATCCACACCTCAGTAACACTTTAAATGTAAACGTTTTTTCCTGCTTCACTAGTCTATACCTATCACAAAAAAATGTCATAATTTTGTAAGGATGCACATAACCAAACTTTCTGTTGCAGGTAAAAGAAAAACAATTACAATCAACGATTTGAATTGCATCAAACTTTGCTTCAAATTCATTGGTGTGTGCATTCTGGAACTGTTAGTTTTGATGCAATGCAAAATTGATCACAGCAAATGATGTCACAGTACGAAATGTGCCGTCCAAAACATACAAATAAATAAAACGCGTTTACATCTGGAATACACTATTACTAACTGATTCCAAGCGATTAAATAGACATTTTGCGGAGGTTAAAATATGATACAGTACTGTATTTAGCAAGCGGGACAGACAAAATGTAAGGATGCGTATATGTCTGAATTCGGACTGTATTTGCTCGCTGTTTTTACTGCTTGGATACTCATCTCAAGACACTAACCAGGCCAAGAAATTATATGGCAGATATGTGTCCAGGGCCTCCTTTACACCTACAATGAAAGGACCCTGATGCCTAATGTCCATATACCTGTAACATGCCTTGTTTTTCAATTTGTTGATAGAGGATGGGGTGTTCATTGATCGAAGGCTTAAATGTAATGGGATAACAGAAAATGCATATAAGAGAACTGTTGTATGATATGAACGGTCCTGTTTTAAAGTGAAAATGTAAGGTAAACTGTATTAAAAGCTCTCATGTAAAACTGTTTTTGTTTTCTTGACAAAACTCTGTGCGTTGTTGCGTTTGATTTTGTTCGTAATACCACTACATACGGGCGGGGTTTGGTGTTTCCGGTTATTTCCAACGCAAAGTCATCGCCACTTTTGAGTAAAACAAAAATTATCCTACAATTCAATCAACATTTCTGGTGGTGTATTAAGCTAATTGGCACAGATAAACGATTCAGAACTAAAATATGTATCATTTTCTTGGCTCACCCTCGCCGCTCTCCCGGCATGAGACTGGCACAATTTCTCAACGCCACCTGCGTTGGCCATTTTGAAAGTGTGATGCGGGGAGAGGCAGGGACGAGGGAATTCTTAAAAGTAGAGTGCAAAGTCTTTACCCCTGTGCCTAGCAATACTGTACGTTGTTAGCATTCCTTATCAGATGATATTTTTCCTTTTTGTAACAGTTGAGCCAAGATTGTGTATGCTTGTCTTAAAAACATTGGCAGCGCTCGAACCTTCATTCCTCCACATCTCATCGGCAGTCAGAAGCAGCAGGGTCAGCAACAACAGTGCTCACAGTCCAGGGCCTGATCCCGCTTCAAAGACCCCCCTGCCCCTTTCCCTGGACCACCATCATGGCAGGTAAAACTTGAACGACACGGCGATGCTGCCGTCATTGGCCAGTGAGTCACGAATAAAACGCAAATTTATCTCGTCCGATGGTGTTGAACAAGTAGGAGTTAGCTAGCATGCTAGGCAGATGCTAATATGCATAGTGTGGGTTCCTCACTTGTTACACTGAACAAAGTTGCTCTTGATTTGATATGGTTTCTGCAAAATGGATGTATGACTCCTGCAGGGGTCGGTGATGAGATCGACGAGGTGCAATGGTGCTTTTCCCAAGTCAAAGGAGCAATAGATGACGATGTCGCGGATGGTAAGTCAATTTGATTATGTTTTCATTGACACTCGGTGCCTTGTATAGAAAGCCGTTTAAGCATTTATTCGATAGCTATGATATCCAGTTCAAGCTTGATGCACCAGTACTCCATTTGTCCTTACTACTAAGACAATAAAGCACACTGGTAGAACAGTTGTCAAGTTAGTAACGTGAAATGACGTTTCTGCACACCAGTAGCACAGCTACATGTTACAAATAGGGTACAAAATGCTGCAAGTTCGTGAGACATACCTTACTTTTTTAGTCTAGTAGTATCATTAGTGCAGTAAAATAGTTTATTAACTAATAGTATCACTAGTTCATTAAAATAGTTTACTCAGAAGGTTTAATTGCGTACCAATGCTACTAGTAGTAGTAAAATATTGCCTGAAGATACATGCATTCCGCTAGTGTGCCCTACCAGTATGCCAAATCGTCCTACAAGTGAGGACAAAGGACTGAAGGATATCAAATAAATGTTAAGATGGCTTTCCATAACTTTGTTCTTACTGGCACTTGGTGCGTCCAACTTGGATGATGTGCCGAATCCAAGTAATAGATGTAAACGTACAGTATACTGTTTTGGCGGTATTCATGGCATGCAGAAGCTAGCTTTAATCGGGTAGGCTGCATTCATGTATGACCGTCCTGTTGAATGTGGAGGTTTCACCCGACATGCCCATCAAGTCTAACTGCAATTTGATGAGTGTTTTTTTTTTTTTTTTTTTTTAAGGCAAATGCTTTCTTCCATTTTCTTTGTCAGTTATTCTCACTGAATACACAAATCTGTTGAAATAACAAGATTAACTCACTTCAGACTGTGAGGCGTTGAGCATTATCTGCTATTACAATCACAAAGCATGATGATTCACATTCACTTCGGCCTTATTTCACAAACTGTCATACATTGCTGTGAGGCACTTATTGTTGAAGTAAGTCTACAGTGTTTACAGTAAGTCAGTTTGATAAATTTAATCTACAGTAGGTGCAAATGCATACCTAAAACATGTATTGCAGTGTTGTCCACATCTCTTGCGGAATCTTGATCTGTCAACCTGCAGCTAAAAATACTTTTGATATCTACTGGACGCCATCATGCTGTGAAATGTGTGTGCGTTGCCTGACAGCTGTTGACTCCCAGAGCTATTTCTTGTGATTCTCTTGTGACTTTGGGATGTTGTCTTCCATTTTTTCCTCCCATAATAGACTACTTCAGCTGTGTGAATTATTGGGAAAAGAGTACAGCGCTGCATCCTGTCCTGAACTGAACTTGCATTCAGTATCCCATGTGTAGTTTGCGCTATGCTTTCCCCACTCACTTTGTTTTTCTGCACTCGGCGTTTCTGTATAAAAAGGCTATAATGCCTTGCTTAAACAGTGGACTTTCACTTCTTGCCACCCGAGCGGAAATACACAACAAATACAGATCAGTGAATTAATGTAAAACTTGGCTTGACAGAACATTGATTTGGAATTGCTTATTACATCAGAATTCAAGATCATAAAAAATGTTTGCTCTAGAAATCAGTTTGCTAAATTTTTAAAGGCTTTGGCTATGCAATGTTCACAAGATTTCCTGTGAACTGTGTATATTTAGTTTAAACCGTAAATACACAAAAAAAATGTGATCCCAAAAAGTTTAGCATTTCAAACAAATTTTACATTCCCCTTGAAAAGAGCGTATAGATAAGGAGTCACCAATGTGGTGCCCGCGGGTAACAGTTAGCCGCCAAGGGCCACATGAGAAGCCTGCCAGTCTGTTCTGAAAATGGCCATAAAGGCAGGGGTCGACTGTACAGTAAATAAACAAGTTGCTTTTATAGACCGGATAGATTACTCCATGTTCTGATCGAATTGGTGATCTGAATAAATTTTTTTTTAACTTGCTAATCGGTGAATGGCTCTAAAATCCAGATCACGTAAAGCTTAATCCACAGCAAATACTTCATTGTGAGACAAATAAAGGTTCAAGTTCAAGTCAACTTTATTGTCAAATGTGCCCTATGTGCAACATACAGCACAGATGAAATTTCTTTCCTCTCAACCACAGGAGAGAGAGGAGCCGCTGTGGGTGCCCGCGCCGCCATCAACAGAACAGTTAACATAAAATGACAAAATAATACAACACAACACATAAGATACAGACAGTCATGCAATCTTAACCACTTTTCTGCATACACTTTGTTGTTTGAAGCAGTTATAGATGAAAGAGGAGAGAATCAAATTGTCCTTTCACCAGCGGATCAGAGATGTCATGCTGAAAATATGCACACGTCTGCTACAAGCTAAGTTTGAAAGCAAACAAGAAGCTATAGCGTCCATTGACGAAAAGAGATTATGTAAATCCGCTTCAATTCCAAGTAGTTTTCTTATCTTATAACACCCCATTCCCCCCATCAACAAAAACATTTTAAGTGTCATCCAAACGACTCACTTGTTCATCACCCATCTAAATTTTCCAGCAACAGAATAATGTGGAACCTGACTGAACCACAAAAACAATTGCTTTCTATTCCTTCAGCGTTGTTAGTGTTTTTATGAGCTTGTACAGAGAAGAGCTGTATCAGGCACTTTGTTTGGGCCACAGTGTTTAAGAGCTTGTGTTAAGAATAGTGTTCACAATAGTGCCAGGCAGTAAACAGGGATTGGTTGTTGTACTCTTTGGTGTGATTAGATGTAAATGCTCTTCTAGTTGCCAATTGTGAGCTCTTCCAGCTCTGCTTAATGTTACTGGATGGATGAATGATGGAGAGATACAGTAGATCAATCGCATAAATACAAGACTTCAGCCCCAGGGATTGTGTACTGTTTGTGTATACGTGCATATGTACAGGCTCGTGTCACTGGTCTTTTGTGTTTTTACCCTGACTGACATTTTCCTTGCTGCTCATTAGGGACAAAATAAGTCAACTTCATGTGGTCAGGGCCAGTGAAGTTTTCACATGATGGTTGCATGTTACCATGTATAGAGATGCAATGTTCTAAGAACATTATTTTGACATTCCTATGTTGACAGCCGATATCATATCCACTGTTGAGTTCAACCACTCTGGGGAGTTGCTTGCCACTGGTGATAAAGGAGGCCGTGTCGTCATCTTTCAACAGGAGCCAGAGGTATTTCGTATGTAGGCACGTCAATGTTTGTTTGAATCTACATGTCCCACATTTGCAGTTTTGCATTGTCGTACCTGACATGACCTTTGCTTTGTTGTTTTTTTTTAAGAGTAAGAATCAACCTCAGTGCCGTGGAGATTACAATGTTTACAGCACTTTTCAGAGCCATGAACCTGAGTTTGACTACCTGAAGAGCCTTGAAATTGAGGAGAAGATCAACAAGATCCGATGGCTGCCCCAGAAGAATGCTGCTCACTTCCTTTTATCCACAAATGGCAAGTTGATTTGTCTACTCCCGAGAGAATGCTATGCAGCTTCTTTTCCAGAATTTTGGCCAAATAGGGCATAATTTTTTAAATTTCTAAACATATACATGCAGTACACAAAAGCAGAAATAAATGTCTCGAAAAAAGAGAGAGGAAAAAACACTTGCTGGCTCTGACTGTAGTAGTTGACTTGCTTTGACAAAACATTTCAGGTAACACATCGGTAAAAAGTTTTGTACCGATGCTTAGCGCTGTAAATGACAAGTCTAGGGTTTTTAACTTGAGAGTTGTATTTGTCTAGGCACCCATCTGATGTCGTCATCAGCCACAGATTTGTAATAATTATTGATTTTGAACAATCTGTTGTCCCTTTTTTTTTTTTTTTTTTTTTTAGATAAAACCATAAAACTGTGGAAAATTAGTGAGCGAGACAAGCGTCCGGAAGGTTACAATTTGAAAGAAGATGACGGTCGATACAGAGATCCAAATACAGTCACAACACTACGGGTGGGTATCGTGGGTGTTTTCTTTTTTTGTTTATAAGCAATTTAACATTTTATCATCTAGTCTGAAAAAAAAAAGACTGTGGTGAACTCACTGCATGGTCTTGTCCCCTAGGTACCCATATTCAGGCCCATGGACCTGATGGTGGAGGCCAGCCCCCGTCGAGTCTATGCAAACGCTCACACCTACCACATCAATTCCATCTCAGTCAACAGTGATTGTGAAACGTACCTGTCCTCAGATGATCTTCGCATCAATCTGTGGCACTTGGAGATCACTGATCGCAGCTTTAGTATCCTTTCTCTTTTAGCTCCTCACAGACATCATCGGTATTGGAAACTGTTTATCTTTTCCAGGCTGGTAATTGAGCACATCCTTTCCACTGTGGGAAAGCGCAGTTGTTAGAGAGACTGTAAAGGGCAGATGTAGTCTAGCATGGCTCTGTTAATGTCTGTCTTTGGGTTACAAGATGTATTGCAGAATGTATGCATTCTGCTTATGAGAGGCAAAGAGCAAAGCACAGACTGCAATTTAGTCCTCACGAGTGGGTTGTTGAACAAAAATCCCATGTTCTCAGTCAAATCAATAATGCAATTGTAATGTGAAAAAAATACACTCTCTCAACTGGTTGTCTCGATTAACCGACAATCGCTTTTCAAATTAAGTCATCATTTTTGGTAATCAATGAATTGTTGGGATAACTGTTTTAAATTTAAAATGGTCAGAAATGCTCACAATTTCAGCTTCTCAACGGTTAATTTTATCCATTTTCTGTCATCCTCCATGTAAGCGGACGGATTATCTTGGTGTTGAATCAAAATTTTTATTGCTTTGAACATGTTACAGACCAAACAAGTACCTGAATCATAATGAATCAGTTTGAGAATTGTCATGTTTTTGAATAAAGGAAAGGAAATGAAATCACGTTTTTTTTAAAAATTCCGATTCATCAATTAATCAACAAAATAATTGAAAGAATAATCAATGATCAAAATGATCATTAGTTTCAGCCCTGCGTTCATTATTTTTCTGATGCTCAGTGATTTTTCTCAGTGTAATTTAAAGTTGGTAAGTTTCCTCTTCCTGTTGGACCTGAACTTTTCCCCCCTCAGATATTGTTGACATTAAGCCAGCGAACATGGAGGAATTGACCGAGGTGATCACAGCATCAGCGTTCCATCCTAATCAATGCAATACGTTTGTGTACAGTAGCAGTAAAGGAGCCATCCGCCTGTGCGACATGAGAATGTCGGCACTGTGTGACAACCATGCCAAATGTGAGCAGAAGTCGCCCCTACTGGGACTCAACCCAACTAAGAATAAGAATTCCGTTTCCAGTCTTCTCCACATGGTGCCTGTCAATCTTACAGTACACAGGATGTTGTTTTGTTCACAGTTTTTGAAGAGCCAGAGGATCCAAACAATCGTTCCTTCTTCTCAGAAATAACGTCATCCATCTCTGATGTGAACTTCAGCCACAGTGGACGTTACATGATGACACGTGATTACCTGTCCATCAAAATCTGGGACCTCAACATGGAGACTCGTCCAGTGGAGACTTACCAGGTACGTTATGCTGGCCAAGCCAAATCATTCATATACAGTGCGTCGCTTGGTCGGTTTGTAGATCCTCAAAACTGGTTGTCCTTTATCAGGTGCATGAGTATCTCAGGAGCAAGTTGTGTTCACTCTACGAGAACGATTGCATCTTTGACAAATTTGAATGCTGTTGGAATGGGAACGACAGGTTAGAACCTACATTCTCTCTATTGATTTTCATTCTGGCTTCTTTATTCTGTTTCCCAGATGTTAAAATCCACAAAAGTTGCTCATGTTTTCTTTGTTTTTGTAAGTGGCAAGAAGGAACATTCTCTTCCACCTTAACATTTATTTTAGTGTCAATTTGTTGGTTTTGTTGACTATGCAGCTCACTCTGTCTCATTATCACACTCTGCCCTGTCTGCAGTGTGGTCATGACAGGTTCCTACAATAACTTCTTCAGGATGTTTGACCGAGGCTACAGGCGGGATGTGACCCTAGAGGCATCAAGGGAGAACAGCAAACCACAGTCTGTCCTGAAACCCCGCAAAGTAAGCTCGGGTGGGAAGCGCAAGAAGGATGAGATCAGTGTCGACAGTTTGGACTTTAACAAGAAGATCCTCCACACTGCCTGGCATCCCCTGGACAACGTTATTGCTGTGGCCACCACCAATAATCTCTATATATTCCAGGACAAACTTAACTAGGATTTGGTGGGCCATTTCTGCTCCATTTCGCAGACACGTCTGTCTAAATGTTCAAGTCTGCCTCAGACCTTGGGTATGACCGATCATCACAAGAACACGTTTTATGTGTAATGAACATACAGGCGTTGTTGAGCTAATTACTGTACAGACTTTGGGATTCTGGGGTTTATGTACTTTCCCTCCAGTAGAGGCACCTGTTCGTCCACCTGCTGGTTGCGACTCCACCACATCCCAGACCAAAGGGAAGATATGTGAACAAACAAACCTATTTTTCATTTGTGCATTAGTGCTATGACTAATTGTCAATGCGTTCTTGGTTCCTACATTTTATTCATTTTAGCAGGAAAATGTCTAATTGTAGACTAATTTGCACTGATATGAAATACTGCTGAGCTAAGTGATTGACACTCCTTATTTGCAAGCAACATGTTAGTCAACTCGCCAAATTCACAAACAACTCCTTCATGATTAATTGTGTACATTGTTAAAGGGCCAGTCTAGGATTTCTCCTAAGTTTATTCTTCAAAGCAGTTCCACAAATGTTACTGCCACTTTTTTTTTCTGCTGCATACCAGTTTATACCATCTTAAATGTTTACCCTGAGATTGCCCATCGTTTACATTGATTTTCTTAACAATAAGGATGTCAAGTTTCACTTGTGTGGCACAGTGGTCATCTGAAACACATACTTTTGTGCAGTTTTTGTGTAGCAGGGGGCATACTATACATGATTATATTTTGTAAATACATTGCTTACACAAAGCGCTATGTAAGAGGGCCTGACTGATAACACATGGTCGAATTTGGACAGACACAGGAATAGTATTCACATACAGGCAGGTGATGGAAAGGAATCATGCCAAAGTAAGATGTACTTTATACCTCTAAATCATAATCCTTTCGTAAAAGCCCTGCTCAGTCCTTGGCAGTGAGAATGGACCACCAATAACAGGCTTGGAGGCTGGTATCCTGGACGTAAGGTAGCCCAAGTGTTTTGTGATGTCAAAGTTTGATGCTGCTGCCAACTTCCACAAATCTGTTTTGTTGCAGATGACTTTACCCCTTGAATTAAGTTTCATTTTTTATAATGTTTTATACTGTACCTCTAAAGAGAAAATAGTCACTATAGCTGATTTATTTTTGTATAAATTAAGGCAATAGTTAGAGTCCGATCACTGACGTTTAAAATTTAGCCGTCTGTCTGATGGCTGGTTTGATTGTAGACGGAAGGCCGCATGACAGAGTGCAGTCATCTGGGTAGATAATTGTTTGTAAGTTCTGTGATTTTTGAGGAGGAGCATGCTCCTTCCAATGTGGAAAAAATATTTTTGGCGGTTAGCTGGCTGTGACTTGTTTTTCAAAAATCATTCTTCCATCGGCGAATGCATTGGCAGTACTGTATCTGGCCCGAAAGGGGTAATGGCCTTTTTTTTCTCCCCAATTTACTCTTTTGAATGCCAGTCAAGTGACTTCTGCCTTCATTTCTTGAAAGGTTATCTGTTCTGTATGCTTTTTTTTAATGTACCTGTATTATTATTTAAGGGGGGAGTTTGTGAAGCACTTGGTTTGCAGATGCTTGTTTTATATAAACGAAGAAATTACCTAAAACGTTAAAAGGCTGCATCTCCTTTGCTATGCCTCTGTCACAAGTTGCCAGTCCTATGGAACAAACGGGTTGAGGTTTGTTTTTTTTGTTTTTTTTTCTGTCAGAAACTCTTTTCTTATAAACTCATCTCTTCAACCTACAAGCAATTTTTACAATGATTTTGATGCCAACAAAATGAAGTGATGTCACTTCCTCAGTGCTGTGCATAATATTATTCAGTAATATGGGGCATTTTCAAAACAATTCTTGGCCTTTTTAGGATTTGTGGGTTCTCTTGGCAACCTTTGGATACCATAAATTTGATGAGCTCGCCAAAGGCTTGTCCTTGAATTCCAGGTCTGGCCATCACCCTTGTCCAAAAACATCAACTGCCAGATATTAAAGAGAATTATGTTCAAAACTACTGCACTAGATATTTTGAAAAACATAAAATCAACCCCCATGCTCCCAATTGGTGTTTCCTAAAAGCATTAAGACTTTAGATACCGGTAACCTGACAGATGCATTTCATCTAGCATGCCAGACATAAGACACTCAGGGGAATTTACCACTGCTCATTGTTCAAAACATTGTACCTTCAAGAAAACGGTTTGTCAGTACTAAATAAAAAAAATGCCTTTGTCAAAAGCCTATGGATTTTGATTGTTTAACTGTTTAATTGTAATGAACCCGTGGCGAACTACAAAACTGATATTACTACTGGTATAGATTATTATATGACTATCAACAGTATGGGAGGCACCTCATATATATATATATATATA